ACGCTGTCAGATAAATTGTTTTTTGCGATAGACGTATATAAAAAGAAGGTTCTCCATTAAACAACGCTTTTGTTGTAGCCGCGATAAAAATTCGCTATGAAACCATCATTTTTTTTTCCTTTCTTATCGTCGAAGGAAATAAAGATACGTATGGGGATTCCTCCAGAAATATCTTTACTGCATCTCATTAGGAGGAAACAGCTGTAGTCTGTATATTAGCAAAACGTTACTTTAGTGTAAATCTAAGAACTAACGAGTGAAAGCAAAAAAAGAATATGTTATAATAAGTGAACCACGCTACGCCTCCTATGTTCAGTGCCAAAGGAAGCCCAACACCAGGGCTGGTTGGTATACGACAGATAGTTAGTGGTCTAGGTTTGTTTGTTAAGCACAAAACTACACACACAACTGGCTATCTGTACCGTGCCAACCACGGGTGTTGAAACTCGAATTTTAGCGTTATAAACGTTCAGAGTCACAGGGGATGGGGGGTGGGAGGCTAGTGGTCTAGGCAGAGCACAGATAGTCTATTGAGTAGCTTTGTGCTTAATTACAAACAAACAAACAATTTTATTTAATTAACTTACAAATCAGATTGTTAGGGTAAGGATTCATATTTTGTTGATAATATTATTTATTTATTTTATTTTTAACACACCTATTATTTGATTATTTATTATTATTAATATTATATTTTATTTGAATTAACTTTACTATAATTCAGAAGAAGTTTGTTTTAAGCAAAAGGCTATACTTTAAGCTATTTGTTCTGTGGCCACCGCGGGTATCGAAACCCAATTTTTGTATCATTATTAGTCCTCGGACTTATTGTTGAGCCACCTGGGGACATTAAGAAGAAATAGCGAATCGGCAGCACAGACCGGACATTGTACTCATCCGTGATGGTTTTGGTAATTCTGCTGACCCCATTAGTTCTTGACGGCTTTGCATAGTAGATGGTAATAACTGCGCAACTTGTATTGGTGGCGCCACCATTCATATAGATAGATTTGCCGACATTTATTATTTTTTTTTTTTTTTACGTATTTAGGTTTCTAGTGTTATAAATTCGCAGACATACCGCTGTGCCACTAGGGGGCACTAAAATGTTTATTTGTTTCGGATATTCGCGGAAATCTACACAAAGGTTACTTGCGCTAATCATCCCTTAATTAAAAGCACTAACCGCCAACTATTGGGCTACTCATCTCATCGAAGAGTGCGATAAAACGTACCCAAAATGCAAAGCGTGATTTTTGTTTCTTTATTTTTCGGCAACGGGACGCAAACCATAAGCCCTCGGATCAACAGTCCACCATGTTAACTTCTACCGTCCTAATGTCCTATTGTTCCCGGTCCTCCAATAAAATTAAAACAACATATAAAGGAAAAACGTCCAATGTAATAACGACGCTAAAATATTTTATAATTTTCTAGTTGAATACAGATGCTTTTCGGTTTGATAGAATCCTAAATCATGATTGGTTGTTATATTATCACTGGTACCATCATCTTGAAAGTGTGACATAAGCAATATTTGTTGTGAGCTGCGCCAATAGAGTAGAGATACGAGGTTTTTCTCGATTTAAAAATAAATAAATTCTAGTTTAGTTATTCGGAAAAGCTATCCACTGAGACCCTAAATATACAAAATGGGAGACACACGTGATAAAAATATGAATGCTATGTCTAAAACTACTTCACTCGGAATAGGTTTCTGTTAAGTGTCACGATCGAAACCTCTGATGATATAGACATACTTGGGTTTTCTGGTCTTTATCAAGAAATTAGAAACTCTTTTCCGAGCATCGCATTTTGTTCGTGTCATGATCGCGTTCTGAAATATATGTTTGTTTTTGAATTTCGCGCAAAGATACACGAGGGTTATCTGCGCTAACCGTCCCTAATTTAGCAGTGTAAGACTAGAGGGAAGGCAGCTAGTCATCACCACCCACCGCCAACTCTAGGGCTACTTTTTTTACGAACGAATAGTGGGATTGACTGTCACATTATAACGCCCCCACGGCTAAAAGGGGCGGGAATCTTTGGTGCGATGGGGATTCGAACCCGCAGATTGCGAGTCGAGTGCTCTAACCACCTGGCCATGCCGGGCCTCTGATATATGAAAGAATTGGAACGAAGATGTCATTTTCAAACTTTTTACAGAATCGTAAAAGCGCGCTTATTTTTTTTTTTTATCCTGGAAAATTTCTCACGTCCTGTACATTAGAAATTTTCTTATTATTGTACACATCTTGTTCTTTCAAAATTACTAACATTTTCGGTGTGGTATTCACATCCTTCTTTGCGTAGTTAAATTTATTTTGTTTCAACTACCCAGTCCCTTACATTGTGCGATTCTATTATTTCATAGAATTGACAGTCCCACAGAAACAGACTTCGACTGATTCAGATTTGAAGAGTTCTTAATGAATCTCGCGCGAACGTGACTGCGACGTGTGCACAGTGTTAACACTACGTGTTTCGATCGTTGATTGTTTATGGATATTCACGCAAAGCGACTTAAGCGCAATCTACGTCAACCGTCCCTAATTTTGAACTGATAAACCAGAGGAAATATATTTGGACAGATGGATAGATACAGAGATAATTCGGGTTGGCAATCAACAGAATACAACGTTTCTTAAAAATTGGACGAACAGACGATTAGTTAATTAAACTTAAGCTATTTTGTCTTCTAGTGGATCGAGGGTAAGTTTACGGACTTACAACCCTAAAATCTAGAGTTCGATTTTCTGCTGTAGACGGAGCGCAGATTGCGCTAAAACAATAACAACAATAATTTTTTCAGTCACTTATTTACTTTTAAATATATATATTTAA